AAATTCGTTGATGGCAAAATTTACTGGCATTTCAAAAAGTTATCACTTGATAACATGGTAAAATGTGCCATGTAAAAGGCTACTAAAATTAGTAATTTTGTAAGATTTCAAAAATACTTGTCAAATGAGGAAATTTGAATTTTAAACTGATCTCTTATGTTTCAGTAAATATTCATTTCTGTGAAATTAAATCTACTGAATGACCAAATTGAGCAGTTCTAGTATTTTTCTTCTTTTATACACACAAAAGAAACCAAGCCCTGCCCCACCCGCACCCCATCTTAGCACAGGATACCTTTCAGAGTGTTCATAAAACCTCCTGGCAGTTTTCGGTAAGCTACTATTCAAATACTGTGATCAAGAAGCTACTTTGATAAGAGAATACCAGACCAACATTGAGAATACCCTAGTTAGGATCATGAAAAATCATGCAATGAAAAGAATGTCCTGTTAAGTGTCAAATTTGGACTACTATAGCTCTTCTGATCCTGAAAATCCATTTACACTAATACAAACATTCTGTGTGTATAGATACGTGTCTACAAGTATGTTTGGGTATAATTTTCATGCAATGACTTTAAAGCTTTGGAGATAGAGTTTAGTCTAATTTGAAGGCTTGTACATATAACAATATTGTCATGCACCAACACTCTACTAAAGGGCAGTAGAATGAAAAAGACCATGGCACAGATTGTTAAACAATTTTAGGTTTAATTACATAATGCACCTGTAGATGTTCTAGCATAAACACATTGTAAAAATCTACATCCTATCCCTTAAAAGCTGTACAGTTATAAAAAAATGTGACTCTCAAGCAAAATAAACTTTTTTTAAAACTTTTCCTTTTTTTTGCAACATACAAAATAAGTTAAAACTATTCAGAAGGTTTTGAGCCATTAAGTTCCCAAAAGACTGTGTTCTGGCTGTTAATAAGTATGTCATGCAGGCTCCTGGTCTATGACCAGAATTCAATAAATACAGATCAAACAAAACCCCTAAACACTTAAAATTAATTTCCTTAGACACTAATAGAAGTCAAGAAAATATATAGTTAGGGTAAAAAATTCCATTCTTAACTTACATAATCCAGTGGCAAAAAGAACAAGGGAGGTTATTCAGTCCTAGGCATATTTTCCTGCTCATCTGGTTTGGCAAAAAACACAAATGAATTCCTGTAAAAAAAATTTTTAATTCATAATATCTAAAGATTTTAATAAATTTCTACCCATCTAATGATTTTTTATGCCCTCTCCTATAATATATATATAGGATATTTTAAAGTCATTAAGGTAAAAGTAACCTCTTCATTAACTGAAACCTCTACAATGTGCCAGAATTGGGTTTATAGCCTTTCCCAAAGCAAATTGGTATAAATATGAAAAATTTAAAATACCGAACTCACATGACCAAAATGAGGGAAAAAAGTCCACTAAGGTGACCATGACCATATTCTAATAAATTTCTGAAAGGGTCTACATGAGTAAAAGAAAAGTGTTACTTGTACAGTCTGGTTGTATAACAAATTTACTATTTTAGAATGTATGTTTACTTGGGAGTGACTTTTCAGTGTTACAGTTACTTAGCAATTCTTGGCACTCAAAAAAATGTTAATTTATTGGAGTGAAATGTTATCAAAATGTATGTTCCTTAAGTAAACAAGTAACACAACCCAATATAAACACACTGACTGCAAAAGGCCTATCTTTTGGGATTAGTATAAAAACGATGAAGAAAAAAAATCAGTTTACTTGCTTCTTCCAAGGTAGACTTACAGGTACAAACTGGAAATGGTGGATAAAGTAGGAACAGATTGAACCCTATAAGCATATTAAGCAGAATGAGGACCAGATAGATTACAGCAGGTATTCAGTCTTGGCATTCTCTGCTTTTTGGAGAACCAGGAATAAATTCTGAGAATGTCAAACCAACAAGAAAAACTATTTTACTCTAGACTTTCTGTAATCAAATGATATTCATAATTTTATATCATTTTCAATGCAATTCATTTCTTTTTATAAGAAATTACTAATGGATTATTTCTAATTTCTAAAATGTATATATACACATATATATGTATATATACACATACAAAGATACAGACACACAACACACACACACACACACACACACACACACACACATGTATATTCCATTTGAAAAAAGATTTGGGTTTTTGAATACCAGAAGATGTGAGGCAATACCATGAATTAAATACCTATTGCACTGTGTTGGTAAAGAATAGAGTTCACACTTTTTTCTGAATATTAACCTTCTACATTCATCTGGCTCTTTAAAGTTGTATGGTAGAACAAGCTGGTGAATGGACAGCATCTCTGATTCCCATAAACAAGATAATTATGAATTCCTTGCAACAAACAAAATTCCCACTTAAAAAATAACTTTTTCTCATCATATTGAATCTCAAATTAAACAAGTAATGGCCACATTTTTCTTAACATCATGTACTTAGCTTAAATATAGGATGGGAACAAATATTTTGTAAAATTAATATGCATTAATAAAATACATTTTTAAAATATAGGATAGGTTCTATCAAGCAGAAGGTGAAAATTGGATAGTAATATTCTTTACAATTAAGGGTTTTTTCCTCCACACCTTCATTAGCATTCAAAATTTTTGGCTTTGGCAGATTACTTTTTTAAAAAGACTACCAGTAGACATGAGTTTATTCTAAGTGAAACTCTTTTATTTCTTGAATCTTCAACCTTGACCAATTAGAAAGCAACCCAACCTCAATATTCTTGAAAATATGTCTGGTGTCATTTTGCAGTAATGTGCCAACAATGAAAAATGTTTTACACTAAGCATTAACATCAACACAAATGTACAGAACCAGTCTGAGTCCTTTTCATGTAATATTTCAATTCAGTTCTGTATTGTGGAAGTCTGGCTAATTATCAAATCTGAGAAAATGCAGACTAAATTGTCTGAATACTAAAACTACATCTCTTAATACATTTGCTGTAGACTATAGAGTTCCATATTGGGAGCCCAACTTGTATTTTTTTAAAAAACTTATATTATTAAAGGGCTCTATTATATAGCAACTATTGTGAATCTAAAACCATGGCTCGTACCCTAACAAGAATCCAAAATGGTCTACATTCTACATGAATTAGTTTTCCTTTATTTTCCTAATAAATGTATTGTGTCTTTGGATACAGAACATTTTTAATAATTTTATTTAACATTAACAAAATTTTTCAGAGTAATTATATCTGAGGAATAATAGACTCTGTGGGACTGAATCTGGACACTAAACAGGTCTGGGGACTTAGCTTATTGGGAGAGTGCTTGCCTACCATGGGTGACGGCCTGGGTTTCGTGCCCAGCACCAACACCACCACCACCACC